TTTGAGCCGCATCTCATAAGGCCACGGAGGATTTAGATTAGCTTGCTACATATTTATTTATCTATGATTTAGATCGATAAGCTGTTTCATACCAAATTTTTTTAATAACTTAGTACTGAACTGATCGGAATCTACACGATGGATAAAAAGCCTTACCGTATCCTTGTTAAATCTCATTTAAGTAAATTTTTCACTATCGGGGAATCGAATCAGGTATTTCGTTTATTTAACCTGTGAATTCTAATTATAGTGGTTAAGTGGAGACTAGCACAGTGGAAAAATAGCAGGTTAAGTAAATAAGTTAGGTAATTAGATGTGTTGTAAATTATTAGGCATTGGTACAGTCGCGGGCTCTAGGCCGCGCGTATTCGGCGTCGCGCGTATATTGACCCCTAATCAGCTGATGTTAGGTATTTGAATTTTCACTGCTGGTTTATGTTTAAGCATTTTCATGATTTTTTTAATAAAATTATCGTTTTATTTAGCTGTACTAAAGAGATAGACCGTGAATAAAGCTAATTAGCTTATTGAAAAAAAAACTAATTTTTTTTACAACGCTTAAGTAAGCGTGTAACATCCCGATGAAAAAAATGAGTTTTTTTTTCATCGGGATCGAATTTCTTTTTGTCTCAGCATTAAAGGTGTCCTTATATATGTACTTATATTATTATATATACTAATAGATATCGTCTGTCTTCGTTTTCAGGAACGTTTCAAAAATACCCTGTATATTTATTAAGTGTAGCAAATTATATAGATTTTAAAATCGCATAAGCGATTTTAAAATAAATATAATAGTAGTAGTATATAGTTTATAAAGTGAAAAATACACTTGCGCTTGGTATTTTACGAAAATATTCAGAAAATAACAGTTTTAACAATTATATTATGTTAAAAGTATTCACAGATGAAAAGCCACATTGTCCTTTTGTAGATTTGATGGTTTTGATTGTTTTTTGCGTAAAAATACTCTGCGATTCGGCATTTTTGTCGGTGTTCAATTGACTGTCTGTTGCGTAATGGCGCACGACGCGGAGCAACTAGTTTTATATAACGGCTAAGAGTCTGACTCTCGTACCTTTTACAGAGGGGTAGGCCTTACGATGCGGTCTCCTTTGGTTTAATACTCAGACCGACACAAAACACCATATTATTTTCCAGACGGTAAAAATAGTCACCCAGTATATGTGCTGAGTTGTGCTATACACTGTATTATAGAGGTGTCGCTTGAATACACTACGCGCCTGTGGCAAGGAAATATCAACTCGAGTTTTTAATTAATTGCTAGTTTAATGTTCCTACCATGGAGTGTGCAGGTAAGGAGGACAATCTCCCAGAGGAGAATAGTTGAAAATGTGTCCAGCTGTAAGCAGTAAATAACAGTTCAAAAAATCTCCACAACAGCGCTCGAGTAGCTGGGTACAAGATGGGTACAACAAAATACGTTGAGAGTGTATTAGTAAAAAGAATTATGGTGAGTCTGTGCAATGAAAAAAAATTATAAAAAGTTCTTTAAAATTTAGACTGTAGCTACAGTGGCGCCACCCTTATTTAGCGTTTTCCTACGGACCCTTTTTATACAGAGTCCGTACTCCTTACCGCTACACTCCATAGAAAGTTAGCAATAAAGCATGGAGGTTGTTCTCTAACCTCCATGCTATAAAGCGACCATTGATCATAGAAGGAGAACTGTCAGTTGTCACAAGTGTCAAAAATACTTGAAATAAACCATAGATTTAGTAAAAAAGAGTTTATGTCGTTGACAGTAGCATTCTCTGTCTACGGTTTATACTAAATCTATGAAATAAATATACGGAATGGGATATTTAATTTATCTTATGAATATTTATCTATTCTTCACATACAAATATTCTATTTCATCCTCTTCGCTTTCCAAAATGCGAATGAGTTCTGAGGAATCGTTTACGTTGCACTGCACTACTTTTTCCGCTATTCGTTTATGACGTCATCAAGGTGTCATCTATCCTTGATCACGGCGCCCAATGAACTGATAATAGACGACGCGCTAAGGATAGCGCCAGAGTTGAGATATTAGATTTATTATGCGAAGTCGATTTGATGAAATTTCCTTTTATTTATGTAGCTGATGATAGTTTTATGTTTCTTACCTTTTGTTTTATTCAAATATCAAAATAATTTAAAAAATACCAAACACGTTTGCGTTTAATTTTGAATAGTTTTCAATAAATCTATGTCTAACGCATTACAACACTAGCGGTCTAACATAGACGACTTTGGCGTGCTGGACATGGTATTTGCTTAGATAAAAATCCACTTTTTTTAGTTCAATGTTTCTTAGTACTTGTGGCTCTAGGAGGCTTGTTTTTTATACTCACATGTTGCTGGGTTATTCTTTTTAAGGAGGGTAGAATTAAAATATCAGTATTAATTTTCCAATATCAATATTTCATATTTTTGTGGGCCGGGTTTTTTGTCAACTATAGACGTCGTTAGCGCTCAGGGCCCGCAGGTGCTGGTCAAGTATAGGCAACTTTGGCGCTCAAAAGGTTAATAGAATATCATTTCCTTTTTACCTATCATTAGAATTATAATTAATAATGCCTAATATTTTGTGGCGGCCACACTATCTTCATTGATTTACATAAAGTAGCTAAAAATGCAAGATGCCAGTGAAGCTATAAATTAAAAAGTATTAAGTGCTTCATAAAGCAATTTCTAGATGGCGGTAGTTTAACAATCAATGAAATTTCTTAGAAGATACAATAGTAGACTCAGTATGTGTCCGTAGTAAAACGCTAAATAAGGGTGGCGCCACTGTAGCTACAGTTTAAATTTTAAAAAACTTTTATACTGCACAGGCTTTCACCATAATTCTTTTGACAATAATTATTTTATTGCTTTCAAAATTTTTAAATTTTTCAAAACCACAACGTATTTTACGGCGATTTATCATACTCTGTAGCTACTCGAGCGCTGTTGTGGAATTTTTTGAACTGTTATTTACTGCTTACATATGGACACATTTTCAGATTTCAGATATTCTCTCCTGGGAGAATGTCATCCTTACCTCTATACTCCATGATCTTTGGTTTCATATACGTCATGAAGGTTCTCTAACCCTAATGATGTATGTGATTAGCGTAGACGGAGAAACCTATAGACTAATGATTAGTGTGGTGTGAAAGGAGTGAGAAAGGAAGATAACGTAGTTTTAGGTTATACAATAATCTTTATGACTTTTAAACATATTTAGATAAAAAATTTAATTGTTCTGAGAACTGAACTGAACAAGGTTCACTAATGTTAAGTTCACAACACTTTTTTCTCACTTAAACCAACTTGTAAACTCCTTAGATCGCTACAACTGTCAGTTGTTTAGCAAAGTGTAGTTTACTAAACAAAAAAACCGGCACGGAGAGACAATCACGCCGCTCTGTCTCATTCTATGTGCAAGACGTATGCATAAATCTATCTTTTTCGTGTGTGAATGCGAAAGGCATCAATTGGCGTAGACAGAGAAACCTATAGACAAATTGACGCCTTCTTTCGCATTCGCACACGAAAAAGATAGATTTATGCATACGTCTTGCATAGAAATGAGATAGAGTGGTGTGATTGTTTGTCCCTTTCTCCGTGCCGGTTTTTTTGTTTAGCAAACTCTACAGTTTGCTAAACAACTTTGACAGCGTAGCGATTTAAGGAGTTTACAAGTTGGTTTAAGTGAGAAAAAAGTATTTTGTGAGCTTAAGATTGGGAATCTTGTTCAGTTCAGTTCTTAGAACAATAAAAATGTTTATCTAAATGTGTTTAAAAGTGAAAGATTATTCTATAACCTAAAAATGTGTTATCGTTCTTTCTCACTCAAGGCCACGCCGATCATTAGTCTATAGGTTTCTCTGTCTACGTCAATTGGTCTATAGGTTTCTCTGTCTACGGTGATTAGTGACCTTTGACGATATGTCAAACGTCATGACGGGTTTATGTTGCAATTTCAAGAGTAATTTCCTACGCTTTACCAACAAAGCCATTATAAAATAATTGGCGAGATAAGAACCGTTTAAAATGTGTATCTCTATTTTTGAGTATAGTGTACAAGCTGGCCCATTCTGGAACACCTCATTTGTAACAGACTGTTGTTTTTTTGGTTAATCTTCTTATGTTTGGAAATCTGGAATGGCAGTGTCACGAATTGTTTAAATTTCTATCAACTATCCAAAGTAATAGTCTATGTAAGTCAGTTAGTTATTCTTGCAAGCCAAAGAATTGTAATCATCAAGAAATAAAAGTTAATTCCGATTATCCAACAACCCAGTCTGGGGGGATAGATGAGAACGCGATTTCAAGTATCCACCCTAGGGTGGATAAACGAAAACCCTTTGTTAGTGATTAAATCGCTACTGACACACACTGTATTACTAAAGTATTTTAAGTAGCTATATAATCAAGGTTATCTTTGATTGCATATTATCTGTAATCAAGGCACAAAAGTTACATCACCAATCAATATTGAAATATTTATAAAAATAATTATAGAAATTAAAAAAAAAATAAAACGAAAAATACATCCATTAATAAAGGATTAAATTTATTTTGAGGAATATTAAAAATCCAAACAGAATACAATTTTTGCATTTATTGTTAAAGATTATTTCACACACCATTATAACATCAGTGAAAATAATTTGCAATTAAGTAATGTTTTAAGTTTTTACAGTGGAATGATCGCTAAACCATACTACTATTTTAAAGAACTAAAACATGAAAAACAGCTTTGAGAGTTATGGCAAAATAATGCAAACTGCACACCCACCGCACAGAAAATTATAGGTAGAATATTTCAAAATAATAGCAAATAGGAATTGTTACTTGTGTAACTATATTTACAATAAAAATTAACGCAATGTTTAGAGGAAAACTTATTAATACACATAAGCACCTTAAAATAAACTTTATTAAATCTAAAGCTAACATGGATGAGTGGAAGGTGTGACAAGTCATAGTAAGGTACTTGAAATAATTTATTCTTTGGGTGGTTCTTCAGCAGGTTTTTCTTCAGCATGATTTCTCTCTGGTTCGTTGCCATCGGCCCACTTTCCGTCGTATTCTTTTCTGTCCACATACCTTTCCTCCTCATACTCCCCTTCACTGCGGTGGCTGTTGCGTTCGGAATAACGAGAGTAGCTGTAATAACGATTTATTGTGCATATTGCTAAGATAAAGCTTTGATTTATCGAAAAAGCTATTTTAAGAATTAATTAACTACTAATATTTTTTATTTATTTTTCATAATTAAATGAGAAAATAATCTATTTGGAGTACTTGATGGATTTGATTTTATAAAACATTTATGAAGAAATCAAATGAATGATTTTAGTCATAATTTTATACTTCTAAAAGATGTATTGAAAATATTTAATCATCTACTATCAAAAAAAAAAGAACATAGATTTAGAATATTATCATGAATCTTTTATTGAAAGATACTGTATTTAAATATATAATAGAACATATGTCTGCTGATAAATTATAAAAAAAATTCAAATAAAAATGGCAAGGTTACGGACCTGTCTCTGTCTTTATCACGTCTTTCAGGGCTGTATGATCTGGAGCGTCGAGTTCGGTCTGGACTTCTAGAACGGGAGTACCGTCCACCTCTTCTGTCGCGGAAATCACGGAAGCCGCCTCTGCATATTATGATGTAAAATTATTACTAGATTTTACATTTGCAAACAATATGGTTTAAATTGACGTTTAATATTTTTAACGAACTTACATTATAAAAAAAATATTATGACTGTCAGCATCTGACACTGTTTTAAACATAGAATACTATAATACACAATAGAATGGCTGTCAACCTTATTCTGTATGAGGATCAGTGTAGCCGGGAGCACACATACAAGCAATTACGTCGTATTATCACTACTACAAACCCGATTCGCTGTTATGACAGACTGAGCGAATTTACACATTTAAGACTTTTGATTAATGTTTTTGACACATCAATATTTCTTTATTTTTATTTCTAATATTCACAAAATATAAATAGTTTCGAATTACTGGTTGTAGAATAACTTCCTTTATTTAAATTCAATGTCCCGCTGTTCTTTCGACACGTAATTATTGCAAAATTGGCCATTTTTTAAATAATTTGCATGCAACGACGCTCGACACGAAAATTGGAAACGATTGATTGTGTTGACATTTATAGGTGTGAATTGACATGTTAGTGGCTACACAAGCTCCGCCCACTCCCCCGTTTTATTGTGTATGTATTATGGTATTCTATGGTTTTTAAAAACAACTTTAGTACATGAATACGTTGAAAGTATTGACATGTTTTTGTTCTATTTGAATATACAGTAACGTTGGTTACCTGAAAGGCCTGCCCCGGCCGCCTTGGCCGCGGCGCGGGCGGAAGGGGCGGCCGCCGCGCGAGCGGTTGTCGCGCCACTCGTGCTGGAAGCGGCGCCCGTCGTCGCGCCGGAAGTCGCCTCGTCCGCGCCCGCGGTTGTTGCCGTTGTACGTGTGGAAGCGCGGCCGGTAGTACGTGCCGCGCTCGTAGCCGCCGCGCCCACGCCAGTTGCCACGACGGTTGAAACGACGTGTTCTACAATTTCGTTACAAAAATCTGTCACATAATGTGCTGCATAAAAAAAAACTCAAGTCAATGCAACTATATCACATTTATAAATGTGTTTAATCTCCAGTTATTATTGGTTACCTACATTTACAATTTGATTGCTAGCTAACGACGTTTAATTGCAAATGTTTCTTTCTAGTACATTAATGATACACAATTTACGCAATTAAAATAAAATTGATAACAAACAATGATATTCCACAGCTTTGCATAGTTTGATAAAAGATAGTGACGTATCTTTATATGCTTATAAATTAAGTTAATTAAATGCTTAAGCCCTTATTTTTATAATGCAAAATAAAATTTCAAAATTTTACCATACTTTGCATGATAACATAAAAAAAAACAAAGAAAATACTCATGATAAACACAAGCAAAAATCCATTATAATAAAAAATAAAAATATAAATTTCTTCGCAACCTTCCGCTAAATAAATACAATGATGTGTCTTACCTGGATTGAAGAGCACCTCCCGCCCTCCCTCAATTGCATGCACTAACTCCGTCACCATTAGTCAAAGCACCTACTCCCAACACCACTATTCCAGGTAAGACACACCATCGACGATAATACGTGAAATCTTCAGGTAATGTACTCTACGACGGCGCGGCGGTTCAGCCGCCGTAGAGTCTACATTACCTGAATATGCCTCGTGTAGAGGCGAAATAAGTGTCGTATTATCGTCGATGGTGTGTCTTACCTGGAATAGTGGTGTTGGGAGTAGTGGTGCTGGGACTAGTGGTGACGGAGTTAGGGCATGCAATTGAGGGAGAGCGGGAGGTGCTCTTCAATCCAGGTAAGACACATCATTGTATTTATTTAGCGGAAGGTTGCGAAGAAATTTATATTTTTATTTTTTAATTCTAGCAGGCACTGGTAGTGTCAGTGGGTACGTACCTGTCCCTGAAGCCGGAACGCGAGCGCGAGCGGCTGTGTAGGAGCGAGTAGTAGAAGCGGCTCGCGTCCGAGGGCGGCGGCGCGACGCCGGCGAGCTGCTGCCGTTCGGCCAGATAGTGAGCCAATGGGTACGCACTTGTCCCTGGAGCCGAAGCGCGAGCGCGAGTAGTAAAGAGCGTCTCGCCTCCGAGCGCGAGTGCGGCGACGGCGACTCGCTATCGCTCGACCTGGTAGTGAGCCAGTGGGTACATACCTGTCCCTGGAGCCGGAGCGCGAGCGGCGGCGGCGCGACGCCGGCGACCCGCTGCCGCTCGGCCCGGTAGTAAGCCAGTGGGTACATACTTGTCCCTGGAGCCGGAGCGCGAGCGCAAGTAATAGAGGAGCGGCTCACATCCGAGCGCGAGCGCGACCCGCTGTCGCTCGGTCCGGTAGTGAGCCAGTGGGTACATACCTGTCCCTGGAGCCTGAGCGCGAGCGGCTGCGCGAGTAGTAGGAGCGGCTCACATCCGAGCACGAGCGCGACTCGCTGCCGCTCGGCCCAGTAGTGAGACAGTGGGTACATACCTGTCCCTGGAGCCGGAACGCGAGTAGTAGGAGCGACTCACATCCGAGCGCGAGCGCGACCCGCTGCCGTTCGGCCCGGTAGTGACCCAGTGGGTACATACCTGTCCCTGGAGCCGGAGCGCGAGCGCGAGCGGCTGCGCGAGTAGCAGGAGCGGCTCGCGTCCGAGCGCGATCGCGAGCGCGGGGACGGTGAGCGGCGGCGGCGCGACGCCGGCGACCTCAATTGCATGCACTAACTCCGTCACCATTAGTCAAAGCACCTACTCCCAACACTACTATTCCAGGTAAGACACACCATCGACGATAATACGTGAAATCTTCAGGTAATGTACTCTACGACGGCGCGGCGGTTCAGCCGCCGTAGAGTCTACATTACCTGAATATGCCTCGTGTAGAGGCGAAACAAGTGTCGTATTATCGTCGATGGTGTGTCTTACCTGGAATAGTGGTGTTGGGAGTAGTGGTGCTGGGACTAGTGGTGACGGAGTTAGGGCATGCAATTGAGGGAGAGCGGGAGGTGCTCTTCAATCCAGGTAAGACACATCATTGTATTTATTTAGCGGAAGGTTGCGAAGAAATTTATATTTTTATTTTTTAATTCTAGCAGGCACTGGTAGTGTCAGTGGGTACGTACCTGTCCCTGAAGCCGGAACGCGAGCGCGAGCGGCTGTGTAGGAGCGAGTAGTAGAAGCGGCTCGCGTCCGAGGGCGACGGCGCGACGCCGGCGAGCTGCTGCCGTTCGGCCCGATAGTGAGCCAATGGGTACGCACTTGTTCCTGGAGCCGAAGCGCGAGCGCGAGTAGTAAAGAGCGGCTCGCCTCCGAGCGCGAGTGCGGCGACGGCGACTCGCTGTCGCTCGACCTGGTAGTGAGCCAGTGGGTACATACCTGTCCCTGGAGCCGGAGCGCGAGCGGCGGCGGCGCGACGCCGGCGACCCGCTGCCGCTCGGCCCGGTAGTAAGCCAGTGGGTACATACCTGTCCCTGGAGCCGGAGCGCGAGCGCAAGTAATAGAGGAGCGGCTTACATCCGAGCGCGAGCGCGATCCGCCGCCGCTCGGTCCGGTAGTGAGCCAGTGGGTACATACCTGTCCCTGGAGCCTGAGCGCGAGCGGCTGCGCGAGTAGTAGGAGCGGCTCACATCCGAGCACGAGCGCGACTCGCTGCCGCGCGGCCCAGTAGTGAGACAGTGGGTACATACCTGTCCCTGGAGCCGGAGCGCGAGTAGTAGGAGCGACTCACATCCGAGCGCGAGCGCGACCCGCTGCCGTTCGGCCCGGTAGTGACCCAGTGGGTACATACCTGTCCCTGGAGCCGGAGCGCGAGCGCGAGCGGCTGCGCGAGTAGTAGGAGCGGCTCGCGTCCGAGCGCGATCGCGAGCGCGGGGACGGTGAGCGGCGGCGGCGCGACGCCGGCGACCCGCTGCCGCTCGACCCCGAGCGCGACCGCGATCCCGCCCGCGACCGGTACTTGCGCGGCCGCGACCTATACACCACGACCCAACCAGTTTATAAGGATACAATCACTCATTTTTGTTCGATTGTAGTTTGTGTTAACCTCTTTATGGTTAGAGGTGACAAAACGAGTGAATCCCCTCCCACATGCAAGAAATTCCGAAATCTAGTTACATTTAACATATTAAAATCTTACAAGAAGAGGTCTGGTCATCATCATCATGAATCAACTTACAGTAGTCCACAGCTGAACTTAGGATGCTCCTATATTCCCTCTTCGACTACAGTTGATGAATGCTTTTCATTAATTCATTACAGCTTAAGTCCTTAAGCCAAAGTCCCCCGCTGAACATAAGTCTGCCACATAAATTATTTTATAGGGATAACTATGACTGATGCTACACTTGGCAGGGGGGGTTGCACCTGTAGTTTACCGAGTTTTGTTGAGTCATTATCGAATGCTGCCCATTTCTTGTTTTATTTCCTGCTGTCGCTTTTTACAACATTTAGTGTAGAACTGTATCAAAAATATACATGTGAAATGATGAAAACTGTGTGAATTTTGGATAACCACTATATGTTAAACAATTTAATATAAAAATTGAAATGGCTAACACCTGACAGTGTGACAATGTCTAGGGGAAAAATTATGAAGCCACGCCTCCTAAGGTGACTCTAGTCGACATTATTTCCATAGAAATTTCGGAGGGGTTTTACTCCGCTGTTTGACAGTGTACATCCAAAGTTAAACATGATATCGTTTTGTCTCATTATTAATTTTGTCTGTACCGAAACAGAATAGTAAAATAAAAAGTCAGTAAAAAGTTACGAGCTACCAAAGATTCGTTTTTATTGCCAATTTTAACACAACTTTGGGCGTAAATTAGTAATAAAAGCAGTGTAAAATTTCCAAAACAAGGTCGGTACCGACACAGCTCAATTATCGAAGAATTCAATAAATTTTATTGGTAATTGATTCATGCAGTGGTTTTTTCAAAAAACCCCTCCTTCCAAAGGCCTTTTCGTATTTTTTTACGCGCGTGTTTATATGAATTATCGTGCATCTCACTGAATAATTTTTCCCTCGGTGCGGTGCGGGAGGACGACACTTACACACACATGCATGCGCGGTGACGCGCGCTTATTCTAGTTTTATTCGACGTCATTGTCAGCTGCGGCCTGTGACGTTCGTATGATTATAGCTATACCTGCGCTCTAAATTACTACGCTACATTGACCCCTGCTTGAACTTTGGATTAAATCAAATTGATATAAGCACAGACAAAAATAGAGGAATATATAAATAAAATTTTGAAAAAAAAAAAACGATCTCAAAATTTTATTAATGTTCCGCTAATTTTATCTGTACTTACCTATGTCAATTTGATTTACATTCGATTATAATTATATTCTCAGACGTGCAGGTTTCCTCAATATGTTTTCCTTCACCGCCGAGCACGTGGTAAATCAGCACAATTGCAATTAACAATTTCATTGATACCGGCGGGGATCGAACTCGGGTCTGCATGTCTGAGAAATTAAAAAATATATATTTCGAAGAAATGTGAAGTTCGTCAACACGCATTGAGGCAGCGTGGCGGACATTTCCTTGCCTTAAAATCCCTCTCAGAAATTAGAGGAGGCCTGTGCCCAGCAGTGGGACGTATATAGGCTGTAACTTTACTTTTTTTTTACTTTTATAAATATGTTATTTTACCGACGAAAATTTTAAAGAAAAAAAAATAAGCAACCGACAACCTCCTAGGTCCCTAAGTGACTTGCGAGATGTCAGTGTAACAAAACAAAACGGCCAAGAAAAACAGACTCCAACTGATAGCTAAATCAGCCCGCAACAATTTCATTGGTGCCAGTGGGGATCGAACCCGGGTTGCTCCCGTACTGTGATACCTATAACGAGCGCTAACCATGTGAGCTACCACGGCTCTCAACGACATCGTTCCGTTCGTGTACAGCGCTGAAGATAGCAGAGTAAAAAATTAGAGATTGTGGTGTTTGAAATTTTAAAAAATGTGTTTTTGTTACTAGTACTTTCATATGCATTTAATAAAAAGCTGTTATTTTAACATTACAAACAGACACTTAAATTTTATTTATTTGTATAGATATAAGATATTATTCATATTGGTGTCATTTTAAAGGGAATATCATGTACATGTATAATAATAAAATAATTCTCTCCAGTAAATATTATGCTTTTCTTGTAAAACTCGAAATAACAAATAAATACGATTTCTTAAATTTACGCGAACACTACACATTGAATAAAACTATTATTTACGGATTTTATCGCGTTTAATTACTTTAATTTATTTTTATTATTATCCCGACGTTTCGGGTGCTTTACAGCGCCCATGGTCCCACCAGTGACCATGGGCGCTGTAAAGCACCCGAAACGTCGGGATAATAATAAAAATAAATTAAAGTAATTAAACGCGATAAAATCCGTAAATAATAGTTTTATTCAAATAAATACGATTTATTTTTATATTCCCATATGCTTTATTTTCATCCTTTATTTTTTATTTGACCAATTTTCTTTTAACAAAATTAAATTCTGAATTGGTTGAGCTTTTTGAGAATATTTTTATTTGAATGTTAGGTAGGTACCTATTTAGTTTTTCAGTAGTAATCGTTTTTGCCTACCTACTACTACCTGCCTAAGTACGTCGGTACTAAGGAAACAGTCTTGACGGGTCACTTGTCTTGATAAAAACATGTGTTTACATCTAGTGATATTGTGTGTATAAGTATAAAAAAAGTAAGAAGACAGGTAAGTATTTTTGAAAACAATTTATAGGTAGGCAGAACTAATTACAATTATTATCTAAATATTATAAATGCGAAAGTTTGGATGGATAGATGTATGTTACTCAATCACGCCAGAACAGCTGAAGGGATCTGGATGATATTTAGCTCAGAGATAGGTTATACCTGGTCTGGAATAACACATTTTTTGATACGGTTTATTCAGGTATTTCGTTCCTGTGGGAAATATTCGAGTTCACGCGTTTGAAGCCGCTGGCAACAGCTAGTACGGATATAAATTGCGATGACTGTTCCAGTTCATGCTTCGGCGTCGTGAACTCTTGAGTGATCGCTGCATGACCACCCGGGGAAAACAAAACATAATAAAATAAGCAATCTATATTAGGTATCTATAGAGCCATAGAGGTATAATATAAAGCGATAACGTAGCGCAGTGCCTAATAATTTAGTACGAGTTTGTAGGTAGGTACTGCTGATTTCTTAGCAAGCGTCGAGCGGCACAGAATAGCGTGGTATGTATTGTATGTGTGCATCGTGTTCGGTAACTTCGTTTTTGTTCTAACAGTTCGGAACGCCGTACGAACAAGACGTGCGTTCTAACTGCTCTTCACTGGTACTATCTCTGTCGGGCACGATGCCAGGTGAGACAACGTGCTTTTTGGCCGCGCCCACCAATGAGTTCGAGCCCGCGACTTGAGCCACCTTAAACGACTACGCCTTAAATGTGTGTGGCGTTACGCATGTAATGAGACATACCAACAGTTCAATATGCATTACGAAAATCGTTCATCACTTCTCTGGTTTCTGATGATGTTATTGCTTTTAGCCTTTTGGCTTTTACAACTTCATAGGTCTCCGATAGTTCATCAATATCTTTCTTGTTAGCTTAAACCAGCCAATCAGTTTTTATGAAATGTGGTATCTGGTTATTTTACGCCTTAACATATATTATTATATAATATATGTTAAGGCTATATGTATACTTACATTGAATGCTTTGTTGTATTATACAAAAGTTAGTTTGAATTCAAACAAATTTATTACTGTATTGGCAGCAATAAAGTAGTTTATTCTTTTTATATAAGAGGGGGGCAAATGAGCACGCGGCTCATTTGATAGTAAGTGACTACCGCCGCCCATGAAAAACTGCAACACTATGAGAATTGCAGATGCATTGCCGGCGTTTTAAAAAAGAGTAGGCTCTTTTCTTGAAGGTCCGTAAGTTATATCGGTCCGGAAAAATCGTTGGTTGTAGCCAATTCCACAAGGAAGTTGTGCAAGGAAGAAACTTCTTGTAAATCGCACAGTAGTGGACCGCCAATTATCCAGGTGGTAAGGATGGTTATCTTGAGTTCTGTCGCAATGTGTGATATTGAAATTGAACAGTTGGAACTAATCCTAACAATTCCTCTGAGCACCCCCCCATGGTAAATACGATAAAATACGCAAAGAGGTGCAACATCTTTTCGCAGCGCCAATGAGTCAAGCTAATCAGAAAGTGCTCGGTCGCCAACGATTCGAACAGCTTTGTGCTAGATGCGGTCAAATAGAAGGAGCTGGCACTGGTGAGTCCCGTCCCAGAGATGTTTAAATAAACGAGCCTACAGCCCAGCTGATAGTAAATTCTGTGGCCCATTAACACATTTTTAGTGGGGAGAAACCATTTAAAAGAAAAACAAACCTGCTCCGAGATCTTTTAGGTGAGCGCCGGTCTTCGTCGGAAGAATTAGAAGAGTGTCTGCGAGGTGAGGGCGGTGAGCGCGGCCGACGTCCTGACGGAGACGGCGGCTTTATGCGGGTCACGAACTGTTCTGGCCGCCCGTCGCCGACCGACACTGGCGTCTCGCCTTCCTGCGCCAATCGGAATGAACCGAATTTGTCTAGGACTATATTGCCTTTGCGAACCTGTAAATATAAATAAAAATAATAATGTGCCATATTTTGAAGCCTGAAAAAGCAGCATTCGTAAATGTTGCCTAGCGAAAACAAAATAAAACATTAAGAAAATCAAAATTAAAAAACAATAAGAAAATTTTAGAAATTCTCAAAATATATGTTTATTAATAAAGAATAATTATTTCTTTAGACTGTTAGTCTCAATAGAGACTCGCCATTTGCAAAGACCAGAACTATAGTGCACAAGTGTGTTATACACTTGTGCACTACACATGTTAAGCAAAGGTACACTTTTGGCAACTGCAGTTATTTATTGGGCTTGCCCCTCACCTGCTTCTTTCCGTCTTTCTGTCGCCTCTTATGAGAGCCAACAGGACTAAATGGGGTAGTGGATATTGTTACACCACCAGTAGAGGGTACGAGCGTGTGCAGTGAGTGAGCAGTACCGACGGGTGCGGCCGATGCGCGTGGTGCGCGGGCTCAGCGGCGGGTCGGGCGGGTCAGGCTCGCGCGACTGCCAACCGGCGCCGCGCCGGCAGTACAGTACAGTACAGTACAGTACAGTACAGTACAGTACAGTACAGTACAGGGTACGAGCGTGTACAATAACAGTGAGCAGTACCGGCGGGTGCGGCGGGTGAGCGTGCGCATGGTGCGAGTGGTGCGCAGGCTCGGTGCCGGGCGGGTCAGGCTCGCGCGACTTGCCGCCTGGCGGCGCGCTCGGCAACGGCGGCGGCTCCTTCATCGCCATCGCTCGTCGCACCGACACGTTCTTGTCGCCGCTCGACGGTGAGGGCTGTTCACAAAATATATCAACATTTATATTCCAAAGACAATTAGTGTAAAATAATGTAATTAAAAATGCAATCTAGGGAAACTGGAATCTCAAAAAACCAAAGGGTTAATTACTTCAATGAAAATATATTGCACCAGAGATGGGCCTATAGAGATTAAAATACAACTTAATATATTAGCTTTCTCAAAAAAAATTATTTTAGGTTACACACTTTATCTAGAAATTATACGTAAGATTCGAAAAGTATAATATAATATACTATTAAACAATAAGAAAATAAAAAAACATATATGTCAGTATGTTTTTCATTTTCTTTCACAAGAGTTATTAAGGTAATTTGATTTACAATATTATAATTTCAGAATAAATATAAATATGACTTTCCACGTAACCAAGTTTCACCATAGCAATATTCATAAGCGATAAATTTAGGTATACAAATCTCACTTTAGTTTGCTCTTGTGAATCATCAGAACTGTCTTCGAATGCGTAGCGTTCCTTATAACCCTTTTGAGTTGGTGTGTCCTTCTTCTTAACCCTACTGAAAAAATAAAAATTTGTATGATTTAAGGAATGTATAAAAATTCTAAATATACACATTAATTAAAAAGACAATCAAATATTAAATATGAAAAACCATTACATAATTATCTTAGAACACAATTTAAAAAAAATCTCAAAATGGTTTCTGTAAAATTTTATGTTCAAAAATTTATATTACTTGTTTAAAGATCATGTGTACATAAAATATCAATTATTTGAAACAAAATATTTTACATGCTTAACTATTATGCAAAACTAGCTCAGCTTATAAGCAAAATACTAACGTGTCTTTGACAGCACTCATGGACATTTTCCATTTGGGTTTCTCAAGGGGCGGTGGCGGCGCCTGGTCGATAGGGCTCACTGAGCCGCGGCCGTCACGCTTGCCCAATACTTCCTTCTCCACCATCACATGGTATGCACTAAGTTTTGATTCCAATTCTTCTAAGCCCGGCATGTCATCTAATAACCTGACGACAACATTTCGAATTCATTACTTTTAAAATTAAACTAGTGATGGTAGTAGTTAAGTATTTTATGTCCACAATTACCATTATATCAATTCTCATGTATGTAATAAATTACTTTACATGAAAATTTATACAAAGAGAAAGAATAACATTTTAAGCAAAATCATATTTCTAAAAATTTAGCTATGAGATTTAATTTAAATTGGTTATATATAGATATTGATTGTGATTATAATTAGTACCTCTTATCACTGTGTTTTCTCTCGTATTCCCCATCGGAACTGAGGTCCCTTTTAGATTTTCCTTTCAATTCCTTCCTGTAATTTTCATAGTTCAATTTTAAAATACCCAAAAATACAAAAATTTGAGTAGAGGATCAATAGAAAAAATTAATGTATAATATACTTTATATGAGGTAACATGTAAGATAAATGAAATTATTTAGCATACATAGTAAATTAAACACTAATAACCTTTTTTTCTAGAATATGTATTATTAAACTATGCAAAATAATTCCCATTTCAAAGTTCTAGAATGCTTATTAAAAGTATAGATGTTTATCTCACGAAGACAGGCCTTACTTGTATCAGTTATGTGAATACACATGCAAACTTAAGTGGGTAATCAAAGGCGCTAATAGCAAGCCCATCGTAATCGTGAAATGAACTAAAAACTAGTTCAAAATATTTTAATAATATTAAAAATATTTTGAATGAATTCATACTGTTTTGTAAAAATAATACAACTTGTACTGATAGGACAGCCCCCAGGAATATGCACAAGCAATAAAAACACATTACTGTTGGTTACAATTAAACTTACACTGTGCTTAGCAAAGGACACATTATTTCCTCACATCACTCACTGCAAACAACTTTTCGCCATTTACTTTCCATACTGACGGTACTTGATAATAATTTTCACTGCCAAGCTTACGCACATTAAAATAATGTGCTTCACTCACAAGTAAGACTACAGCCGCCATCGTGAGATAAACTACTATAGCAACATTAACCCTAACCCCGCCAAGAAACCCTACCATGTGACACTAGGATTTCCTTCCAAACATCCCCAGACCCGGAACAATTATTTGTAGGCCATACAAGTAATTGTTCCATGCGATATTCGAACTCGCGACCCCTAGTGCTGCAACTCTTTGCTAAAACACTGCGCCATGGAGTCATAATTATAATACCTGATAGCATCTCTAAGTTTCTTGTCTCCTATAGTGTCCAAGTCCCTTAAGCTGTATTCAGAGTTATTAGCAGCTGAACGCGCCAATTTCGCCTTTCTTTTATCCTCTCTTTCTTGTTCTTTTCGCTTCCTCTTGGACTCTTTCTTCTTTTTTCTTTCATATGAAACAAATATAGTACACAATTTATATTAGAAATATTAAACGATTTTGCTTCTTTCAAGTTCGCGTGGCAAAACAAATAAAAAACGTAAGTGCTAAATCAACATCATAGTTCAATAACTTTTTAGAGATTTAGGTTTATTCTCCTTGTTACAATTCATAATTTCAAGGAAAACTAGTATTCAAGCTATATATAATACTACGATATGTAAGGGAGCCATTCAAACTCTGAACTATATGACTATATTAAACTTATAAAATGCAGCTGGCCGGGTGGCGATATAGCTCCTGCAGGAAAGAATCAGGACATAGGGCTGTTAAAACATTAAACTCCTCCCTCCACTTACTTGTCTTTCTTCTTCTTTTTTTTCTTCTCATGATCAGCACCTGGCTGAGGCTGTTGGCCAAGTTCTTGCATTTTGCGATTTCTTTTGTACTGGGCTGTCTCTTCAAGGAAGTTGCGCACTTTGTCTTCATAGTCGGAGTCCTCTTTTGTCATCTCTAAGAACTTGCGTACCTAAATTAACGAAGGTTTTATTTACTCAGTTTTGCGTAGGTCAAAATAGTTGTCTAACATAAGTTATTTAGGTCAAACTAGATTGTCCTTGGCTAAGCTAGTATATCCCAACACACGTAGGATAAACCATTTTAGACTAGGTCAAACTAGTTTGGCCTGAAATCTCATTTGGCCACTGACATATTTAAAATAAACAAAATAGTTTAATGAAAAATATTAAAGATCTGAGAATTATTTCTGTAATTGTTATAGATTACTTACTTTCATTTCATAATCAATATCTTCTTGTGACCGCATTGGTACACTATTACGTTCTTCTACTTGTGGAGGAGGTGGCTGATAACCATAGGGATGGTTGAACTGCGAGTTATGCGTGCGGGATGCTGAGTCAGCGTCACCCAAGATGGCCATGCGTTTGCTGAGCGGCGACAGGGAGCGCTGTCGTTTGCTGTTTGATTGCGAACGTCGTTTCTTCTTGCGGTTTGGTCCTTCAGAATCTAATGGTTTATCTATATTAAATTTCGTTATGGAAAATTTCGTGCTAGTTAATATCAGTAGTCAAAAGAAATATATTTTATCATACAATTTTCTTAATTTTTATTTATAAAAAAATGTTACCCAACACTACGAATTATCATAGATATTTTATAATACACACATTACAGATTAACAAACAACCAGACTCATAATAATTATTTGAAAGCCATTAATACATAAATGATAAAATCTGCAGTTGCCAACCTGCCTTGGCAGGCCTGCATGGTGACTGTGGCAAAATGTATCTCTATGAACGAGCCCTATTTTCAGCAGTGGACTGTTGACAGGTTGCAATAAATGTTGCATAAATGACAAGGTCTTCACATATTTAATCTGAAGTAGAATAAAATAGAAATAAATAATATCAACAAAAATTATAAAATGTCATATTTATGGAATTGTATATGGATGTGCTATGTAGTATTTCTTATATAGTATTTGTTAAAAATATACACTTCTTCAAATCTTATATATTATTATTAAAAAAATTACATGTTTTTATTGACAGAGAATTTTTTTATAGCATTGTGTGACAAACAAGGACACAGTCCACCTGATGATGGTAAGTGGATGCTGTGGCCCATAGGCATCCAAGTTTATCCTCAATTAAGAATCAAAATTCAAATGCGTTGTCACCCGTGAGGACTAAGATGGAATGCCTTGATTCCAGTAAAAAGGGTCTCCGGTTCTCTACACTTACCATACGAAACACAGCAGCATTACACTGCTATTCTATGAGGGTGTGGTCCTGCCTATTGCAACCCATTCATGCTACAACTATAATATAGCTGCAGCGTGGCTCTACCACGTAAAAATAATACGTAGAAATACTCTAAATTTGACCATATTAATCCTAATATTAACCATGTGGTGCAGTAAAACTATAACTTTTTTTAATGTTGATTAAAGATTTTTTTTATTGATGAAGTGCGTAAATATTATGTAAAATTACTATATGATATACCATACATAACTTAAGCACCAATACACATACATATACACACACTTAACACATTGTTATACATAGTAGTCACCCTGCAGCTCTATGATGGTTGTAATACAAATGGGTCAGCATGACCAGGAAAAGATCATGCTCTCATAGAATACCTGGATACAATATTGCTTTGTATCATATATTGAGTGTAGAGACCCGGAGACCTTTATTACTGAAAATGAAGCATTCCATCCATCCATCCATAAAACATACAAACTTATATATAATATTGTGGTCTATCAAAATTAACCAATTAAGAAATAATACAACTCCAAAATAGATCTGATGAGAAGACAGTTTTAAAACACCCTTACCACTTGTATCAGATGATGACGATGATGATTCTGATGAAGAACTTGAACTTGAAGAGTCACTGGAGGATGAAGAAGAACTACTGGACCTCTTTTTCTTCCCTTTTCCTCGCTTCTTCTTCTTTTTTTTATCTTTTTTCTCTGTTAAATTCAGTAGCTGCTTTAGAGTTTCTTTCATTTCAAATGACTTTGCGCCAGTTAGACCAGGCAACAGAAGCTCTGCAGGTTCTATTAATGGTTTTGTAGTAGAGGTTTTACTCTTCAAAAAATCTAAAGAATTTTGAGCTTCTTCATGAAATGGTATGATAGCTAAACAGTCTTCATATGCTTTTTGTGCTTCTGTGATCTTATTTTCATCTTCATAGCTGCGTCCTAGCGCTACCAAAGTCTCACCCAAATACTTGCGGGCATTAGCATGATTTGGATTTAATTTCAGTGATGTTTCAAAGTCTTCTATAGCTTTTTTAAATGTTCCACTATTTGCATATAAAGCTCCTCTTGCCACAAGTCCTTCAACATTTCTAGGGTCAATACTAAGTGCTTTGTTGAGGCATTGAAATGCTTCTGAATGTCTTCCTGCCTTAAAATGTTCTATACCTTCAGCAACAGAACGGAATGCCCACTTGCTTGCTTGAGCTTGCCGAAGTTCATCTGCATATTCTGATGTTTGGAATCCTCCTCTATTGAAAAGAAAATAATTTTTATATTAAATGTTGCATTTATTTTATAAAAATATTACAACCAAAAACAAATAATTATTACCTTAGGGATGCAAAATTTGTGCAATGCATATTGGCAATTCCAAGAAGTTCAGAAAGATATTGGACGCAGTTTGGATTATTGAAGCCAGGGCTCTTCTCTAAAATAGCTTCATAACTTTCTCCCTTCATATCCAATGTTTTCCTGTTCAAAGGATTTATAAATCAATTAAATGTACATTTAACAAAACTATGTCTTTCCTTTGTTATGTTACGAAGTCATTCCAATGATACTTGAAAACGAAAAAGATATGGTTAAAATTTATTTATTTTAGTTTCAAGATTTATATATCCTATCAAAACTGTCTGCGAAATGTCACACGAACATAATCCTCACCTGTTCCCATGAAGCTGTTCTAAAAATGTTTATTTTACTGGTATTTTATTCTTTCACACACAAATAGAACATCATAGATTAGGTGATGTCGCCTCAAGACATTAATATTACCAAAATTGTCTCAGCTACAGTCACAGCATTAATGTAGTAGGTCTGACAAACAGGTCTTGGAATTCGTTGCTAAACCTAGAAAAAAACCACCCTAAAATAATGGCAAACAGTGTTCCTTTACAGCCGATCAAACAGCCGTGTCCACAACAACTATCCGAACTGCAGAAACAGCTTGGCTGCTAATTTCTTTCTTTGGGAGCCTTTCACATCAGCTAAATAGATCAAGTGCCGATGACTAGTCCATTTTATTAGAAATAAATAACTCCAACATCCAATAAATGTTCATTACATTAAAGTCCAATAAATTGTTTGAGATAATTGCTGGAATATTAAATATTAACTTTAATATAGAATTACAAGTCCCATTTACAGAATCAGAATGCAGTAGTGAACCCTAAAGAATTGTACTGACCTTATCCTTTAGTAATACAACGTTTACTGTTGTCATATCGACTTTACATCTGCTTAAAATCCTTGAAATAACAAAAGGTAAAATCTTCAAAAGACCGCTTACAATTCACATCCTTCAAAATTCCAAATTCCAATAGATGTTTAAATGGTCAATTTATAGCAATGATATCATGCATAATATATTGCACAACTTAGGTGAGCAGGGTGAAATTGTACTGAAATGTGATCAGAAACCAGTGAAACATATATTCACAAAATGTACACTTGACATTTTGGACTGTGTTTTAAAAATTCCATGGCAGACAGCGGTGTATAAATCAAACATTGTGTCACAATTTCCAGTGTTTCTATAAAAGCAGAGGTATTAATATATTTTGAATGCAGTATTATAATTTCCAAGTTAAATATGTATTCATTTAATGCAAACAATTGCATTCAACCACTTTATGGCAATAATTTCATGTTAGTTTAAAATATCCTTGGCCCAGATTATCAATCTTCAAAACATATCACTAAAAGTTTCTTGTAGTTATCCAATCTTTGTGTGTATACTTGATACCACTGATTTCACAGATCCAATATCTTCATCAAACAACATGTACATACAAATCTACACATACAAAATGTGTTAAAAATAGCATTGAAAATTCTGTAAGTGTGAAAATAAATTGGTTTAATATACTAATAAAACGTTTATAGTACATACTTGTAAATAAGAGGAAAGTCGTCAGTGCTGAGGAGTCCTAGAGGCGGCTTTGGCGGCGGGTCATCAGGGCCGCGAGTAACACCCTTCATACCGCACACCATTTTGTCTGTATCTGGGATTACTTCTATTACTTCACAGCAGACAGTGTCATTCATCAGGTAACTTCTTGAAACATTTTTCTTGTCCACAGCAGGTATAATGTTTGCAACAGGAAGGAAAGCCTGACAAAAGATTAAGAAATATAACATTAGTACATAATAATATGTATAAATTTTATTTCAGATACTGTAGTTTATTGAAATACATCTGATTTTACAATTACTATTGAATTATAAATATATCCTATAAGTACATCATATTGTATGAAGTTTAAATAAATAAATAACATAATATTTTTGCCAGTACGTTTACTTAAAAACTCATTTATGGGATATAAAAGGACTAACAAATATGCCATATTGTGATAGAAATGGGTAATTCAATATTATGTTGGAGCTGCAGACTGACTCACATATCAGTTCAATTAAATACATGGCATTTATTGCAGAGACTCATGTTCAGATAATGTTGCCTATGTTTACACACTTCGCACAGTCCAACATGTGGTTCAGTTTTTCTCCAGGATTACATTTATTATATTAGGGCACAGTTTTTTATTAGTTTCAACAAACAAACAGCAATAACTCAATATTAATATCTTAAACTCGACCACAACTGTTAATAAAACTGGCCAAGTGTTCAGACATGTGCAAGAAGGGTTCCATACTATTGTCGTACAAGATTTAATACTATGTAGGTACTTTTTAAATACTTTTGTAAAAGAATAAACAAGTTTCCTGTATGGGGACCCCCTTTAATTTTTAAATATAATTTTTTTAGCAAACATAGCAAGACAAACTAACTGTAAGCATTTAGTGTCTAGTTGTTGCCATTATTAAGACTGAGCAAAAAAATAAAGAAAAAAAAACATGTTTCTAGCTAGAAACATGTTTTTTTTCTTTTTTGACATGAGGCAAGCTTAACTGACAGTTTCTTTGAGTTGAGAAAGTAGCCCAATAACTGATTAAAATAATTCAGTTGTATCTTTTTAATATTTAAATTCTAACGTAACTTAACAGAGAAAATAATTAAAATGCTTGAGAAAATATTAAAAGTAGCAAATACAAATTAAATGATATATTATTAATTAATTATGATGACAACTACTCAACAGTATATTTTATTTAAAAATTTTATGGCAATTGCCATCTTCAAGCATTTAAAATAAAACATTTGTTTACATCCTGTAGATGCAACACAATAATATAACACATTGTAGTTAATGTAGATTTGAGCATAATCTTTTATGGTTAACACCTTTACACTGGAGTACTGTCATGGCAATTCAAGCAAGTATTGCCAATTTTTGCAAAAACTGTGATAACTAAGAAACTGCCGAAAGTTTTTACTTCATATAAAAACTATTTATTATTCAATAATAAAGCTGTCATATTTCATAACAAAATCAATGTGATTTATCACCACTGTAATTTTTGGTCAAAAATATACATGAGGAAAATAGGTGTTAGCGTAATTTATTAAGGAAATGTAAGTAAGGCAGCTTTGTTTCATACAAAACAACTGTTAATATTTCGTAAAATAAATGGCAACTTTACAGCCAGTTAGATAGTAATTGAAACAAAATATAAAGCATGACGGTATAGACCATTAAAAACAAGTATTATAATATGCCAAAAGAAAGCACACTTCAACCACTCATTTTTTCATGTACACAGTGTTTTAGAGTTGTGTTGAGTCAGAGTCAGAGTTGTTTTTAGCAGTTTTATAAAAATACACCAATCTTGATCTGTCTCCACTCTTCAGTTTTATATTCAGTGCTGTCGAGGATGTGTTTAATAAAGCACACAGAAAGCATACTACTGCTAGATAGATTGTATGACATCAGCAATTGCATACCTTCGGTGGCTTTGAAAAGAGCCGTATGGGTTTGCTTGAGCGAAAGAAAAAGATATTTACATACAATACATGAATAAAAGAAAAGCATGAACAAAGAAAAAGAGACTATGTACAAAATTACAAAAAGGGACGCCTGGCAGATGCGAATTATCGAAATTATTTTGTTTAAGTTATATGCATAGAAGGACAGATTACGACAGGAATTAGATGTGGTATAATGAAAAGATACAGCATTACAATTTTTTTCCATAAAATAATGACTTTATTATGTAATTATTCTTTTTCAATTTTAATAAACCGTACAAAATGATAAATAACTCATATGGTAATATAAATATTGAATTATTAAATTAGCCGATAGTCTCTGTTTGTGCCATCTAGCGTATTTTTTACGTGGGAGTCCATTAATTTTAGTTCGATAAAATGACTTCACCTATAGAATTAAGTAGATCGCGCAATTAAAATTTTGAATTTAGAAATAGAGTGGAGACAGATCAAGATTGGTGTATTTTTATAAAATTGCTAAAAACAACAAAGCCATATCTTGGGCTTGCCTTAGTTTGGAGCCCTAGCTTCGCCACTGAACTTTGGTATTAGTGCATGTTGCAGTGCATGAAGCTTTTGTAATAGATTTTGAAAGCGAAATTTTTATCTACTTGCGAGACTCATTAACTTACATCAGTGTATATAAAATAAAATTCATTCGCTCGTGAGACATCGAAGAATTTGAAAAAAAAAAAAAACTTTTTTCTAACATAACTTCGAGATTTCACAACCGAGCAAGTTTGTGCTTCTTACATTATTTGTAGGACTTAAAAAACTGCGTCGAAATCTACCTGTTCATGAGAAATCGAAAAATACTTCATATTTTGGTAAAAATTGGAGCGCTTTGCATTTCAAATTGGCGGGAAGTTCCAGGGATGGCCTGCAGGGTCAACCGATCTTTTTTATAGGATAGGGTGACAAACGAGCACACATTCCACCTGATGGTAAGTGGGTGCTGAGGCCCATAGACATCTACATTTATCCTCGATTGCGAATCAAAATGCAGATGCGTTGTCACCCGTGAGGACTAAGATGGAATGCCTCATTTCCAGTAAAAAGTCTCCGTTTCTCTACTCTCACCATACGAAACACAGCAGCATTAAGCTACTATTTTACGCAACTACAGCATGGCTCTACCACATATAAATTCTCGACAGGACAGGAAGAATGTCTTCAATGGGCAGTGAACTTAGTGACAGTGATGATGATAATATGTATACCCTTGTCATCCTATTCGCAATTTATAAACCGGGAAGGGAGTATGCATATTGGAAAAGACGGAACTTTTTGGAATTAAAATCCCCCTAATTCTGTGAAAACTAGATCTGCCAACACAATTAGAGAAAAAATTACCCTGAAGTTTTGCCTCCTGCGCTTTTTTCAAGATCACCAATGGAGTGTTCCACCATGTACATGTTGAACCACATCCAAAGTCGATCACACTCATGAATTGCAAGAACTCTTCTTCTACCAATAAATTAAAAACTTTATAAGAAATACAAGAAAACCCAGCTATTCTCAAGAAAGAGATGCTTGAGAGGTGACATTGTCAGAAATAAACGGATTGATTGGATTACTATTCCTGTGTGGTGTATGAACACCAATGACTTTTATAACAAGACTGGTTTATCTATGGAGATTGTCAGACTACCTATGAACATAGATTCTTATCTACGCTGTATACGATTTTACGACAGAGAAACTAGGGCCGAGGGAATACAGTATGGAAAACTTGCACCTATAATGGAGTTTTGGAACTAATTTGTCACAAAATGCAAAAATGGTTATGCTCCATTCCATCCCTTTTTGTAACAGTTGGTCAAATGCTACCGGCTAGTAAGCCAAACAAGTATGGTATCAAAATACTAGTGGCAGCCAATGCAAGAAACTTTTATCACATTCAACATGTAGGTTTATGTGGGAACTCAACCGAAAGGTCCATTTCATTGCAGCAACAAGCCTACTGATATTGTAGTTCATCTCTGTGAACAAATTTCAGGATCAGGGCATAATGTAACAACAGATAATTGGTCCTCTAATAGTCACTTGACCACAACTCTTGAATGAACACAATTTGACATGTACCTTAGACCCAAGTACCACCTTCTTTCTGTGTAACAAAAGGATGTGAAGGAAAATCATGTATGCTTGGATTCCAAAACAAGATGCCTTGTTGTCCTATATACCAAGAAAAGGTAAACTTGTTTAATTGCTTTCAAGCATGCATCAAGATAATTTATTAACAAATTGGAAGGAAATTTTGATATTGTCCTTGATTACAACTGCAAAATCTGGAGTCGACATATTGGACAAGCTTTGCAGCATATACAACACCCAAAGAAACAGGAAATGTTGGCCAATTGTATTATTTTATACTGTGATAAATATTGCAACTGTAAATGCACAAGTGATATTTAAACACAACAATAAAAAACTGTTATAAGACGAAAGTTTATTGAAGAAATTGCTTTCATTAATGGAAAGTTAAATGAGGTACAGATATTCCCCTTCCACTGTTTCTCAAACAATCAAACTGAGAATAAAAGAAATCCTGAACATTTCTGAAAATGACCAAGTAGTCTTCAAACCAAGCTCTATGCATTGCAGGTGTGTCACTATTGTGACAACATATTGTTTACCACAATATGTTGTACCAAAGTATGTTGTTTCAAATGTGGTAAACAAATTAGAACATGCAATATTCATATGCCGAGAATGTACATCTTCAGCAGTTGTAATGGATACTGATGAATATGTTAGTAGTAGAGTAGTACTCCTAAATAATTGTAAGAATTTTTTATTTTGTTTTCCTTTTTTAATTTATTATAATTTAGATAATAACTAGTTTCATGAAAAAATATCTAAAAATAAATGTGATTTTAGAGTTGCTATAAAATGGTGCCATTGAAGACGAATGTTGTTCTATTATTTATTAGGAATAAACTAAGATTTTTTTTTGTATGGATATGCAACATTGATTTTTGTTCAAGAAGAAAACCTTTCGAGTTTGTATAAACCTGTTTTACTACATACACATTAAAAAAATAATGAATAGTTTTTACTATCATTTACACACATTTTAATGATGTGCTATTCATTGAATTAAGTATTCATTCATTTATTGAAATAGGACAAAGTTGCAGAATCACAGACCGCATGTGACAGCCAGTGCTTGGCTCAAGGGTGAGATCACTGGAAGGTTAAAAAAGGGAACAAAGTTTCCTCTGCACATAATATTAATTTTAAGATACTAAAACACACACATTTTTATAGTTTCTAGTGATGACAAAATTTAAGTCCCTGTAAATTTTGCAAAGTTAAAGTAATGCAATAACAATACCTTCACATTGATATCTGCAACAAATCTGGAAGTAGGACCAGCTGTACACAAAACCTTGAGCATCATGCCTGATTGAGTTCGGTTAATGACAGCTCCAATGATAAGTTCTCCCGTCTTGACATTCTGAAAACCAGGTATATATTGCAGCAAAGACATTTTAGGCAGAACAGGAAATATATAGGCATAACTTAACTTAAAATATAAATAATAAAATGTGTTGCACTTAGTATGACATTAAATTAATACACAGGTAGCAAGTCCTAACTGGTAGTAATATCGTAAAATAGATTATTTAAAAATATGTCTGTGAAAATTTTAATTTTTCAAGCAATTAAAATTCTGAGTTATAAAACAGTCTAAGCCACAACATAAAATTCAACATAATAGTAAAAGTGGCAATCTAGCGTGGTTGTTTTTTAAGTGATCTAGCGACAGTAAATTTTCATGGTTTGGTGATAATCCACCAATAACTAACTACATGCTATAAGTACCTAAGCTAAAATATCACAAAACTGTTTTGTGAAACATTAGTACATCAGTCAACACAAACATGAACACAAATGAAATAAAAAAGCATCTTTTCCACTGTAAGACTTACCGTGGAAAAAATTCTTTGTCAACATTTAAAGCCGAATAATTTTTTTTTATTAGATAAATTTATTAAAATTTGATTTTGTTATTGAAACATACTAATACAAAACTTAACAAATAAGTCGTCCTTTAACCATAGGTTTTAAAACTTGTAACTATGGCTCCTCACATATTCTAGCAGGATGCAATGGATGCAGGTGGTTCAAAGTTGTGATTTGTTCCATTCCTTGATAAAGGCTATTATTGAGGATATTATATTTTACCGTATATTTGGCCTGGAATGACTTTGTGATTGGCTATAATGATGATGGAAGACGAACAGAAATCTGTTAAAATAGGTACCTGCTACATGAGAATTGCAAATATGCAATATAGAAATTGTGATACACATTCAGGTTACCTAATTAAAATTAGAAATTCAGACTCCACACCGCAGGTGGTCCACATGTGTAACACAATGCACATCTCATATTTGAATAAACTTGACAACACTATATACACTACTAATTTCTTTCTAGTGTGCAAATAGAACATTTTTCCTCCTTGCTTAAACTTCATTAATAAATCTAATTATTTATGACCTTGTAATTTGACCTCCGTTTGCAATTTTAGTAAAGGTTACTCTGAAATTATTCATTGGCTAAGTTATGTTAATATCTGAAAATGCAATATTGAATAAAAGTTTAATGTCATACGTAGAGAAACACACTATAATATATAAACTAAAATATTAATCCTCTTCCTCCTCCATGGGTTGAAAGGTATATGACTATATGCATCTAGTAATTTAAGATCCCGCACAAATACTCACACAGCTGGCATTCACCATACTCATCTAAAAAGTGGCGTTGTGCGCTAACTATCCCACTTTATCTCGGATATCCTGAATTTTTAACACATAGCACTCCTAATTTGTGGCTATTTTTTCACAGGCAGCAATATATCATCATATTAGAAAAAAAAATTAGCTTCAATTTGATATGAAAAACATCCTTGTAAGTCATGAACATATAAATAGATCAAAATATTGCCTGCTTACACCTGGCTGTAAGGTAGTTGTGGCACCTATAGATTTTAGATTTCTTTAAATGCATTGTTATGATGTGGATGATATTTTATTTCAATAATAAGTGTACAATTTTTTTTTCAAATATTAATTAACATTAATTTAATTAAAAATACTTGCAGCCACTTTTGACTAGCTGCAGTGTTATCAGTGTATTCTCCTATTCATAAACCTATGTAAAAATGTATGACTCACAACATAATGAACATAGCAATTTTGCAGCAGGATCTTAGACTATAGACTGTTCTTTGTATCCTTTTATATGGATTTATTTATAGAATAAGGGTGGCAAACAAGCACATACTCCACCTGATGGTAAGTGGATGCTGTGGCCCATATTTACATTTATCTTCAATTAAGAATCAAAATGCAGATGAGTTGTCATCCGTGAGGACTTGGGTGGAATGCCTCGTTTCCAGTAAAAAGGGTCTCCAGTTCTCTACACTCACCATACAAAACACAGCAGCATTAAGCTGCTATTTTACGCTGGGATTCTGTGAGAGCATGATCCTCTACCCTGGTCAAGTCAACCCATTCATGTTGCAACCACAATATATGTAGATGCAGCATGGCTCCACCACATATACTCTCAGAAATCAGAGGTCCCATAAAATAGCAATAAATATTTAAACAAATAAAAATATACCTGGTTCTTCTTGGCAATACTTATAACATTATATTATGATGATAATTAACACTAGTACTTACTTCAAAAAAATGTCTTAATCTTGCAGATTTATCAACATTTAAGAATGTTTCAAATGGTGGCATCAAAGCATATAAATCTGAAACAGCAATAAAATGTAAGGTTACATTAATTATGATGAGTCATGGAAGTTATGACACAAATATCTCATTAAAATGCGACTTTGTCCGAAGGTTGAAATCCATTCTTTTCATATTCGACCAAAACTGCTAAAATTTGATTTGTATATCTCATTATAGTTTTTAAGAGATTTTCAGTCATACTGAGAAATTAAATGGGATATATATATATATTTGGTAATAACACATCTCACTTACTGTCTTCCGGTGCAGTCGCGTCAACCCCTATGCTGGATGAAGATGGAGTTTCCTCCATCAAGGATGCATCAAATAATGCGTTTGCTTCTTTAGCAATAAACTGATGGAGCTTCAGACGCTTGCTACGATCTTGGAATGTAAGATGCTTGTGCCGCGATTGGTATACAGCGAAATCCAAAGCACCCACGCCAATCTTCGATAAATCATCTTCTCCTCGTTCTGACTCCCACGTTTTTTGCAATTGTTGCCCATGGTAATTGATGGATTGCGCCACTAAAGACGAATCCAAAGTTGTCTCCATATTTAACTGTTGATAATAAATCGTTATATGAAATAAAAAGCGATAAACCTTACTTCCCCGGTACGGACGCCATTTTGTTTTAGTTTAAGATTTAGAACTAATCGAACCAGACTTATTCATTATACAATACTAGATGTAAACATATTACCTTTGTTTTAAATTTGATTGCTTTAAGTTGAATATGTAATTAATCTAATAACTGGCATATTATTAACAAAATCTAATAAAACACACCACAGTAGCATAACCACACCACAATTAATAAGATCAAAGATGGCGATTGGCTCTAGTTAGTTTGTGCGTAGGGTTGCCGTTCTACAAATTTTAAAGTCCCTAGCATAGAGTATCTTTTTATTGGTCCCTAGACTTACAGAAAAAATCCGCCAGAAACAGGATTTTTCTTTTTCTTAAAATCCGCTAGATATCCCTAGATAAATTTTCGTGGTACCGTTGGTCTAACTGAAAAATCTTGTCAAATGGTATACAATGAATACCGAAAATCTAAATCTATAAATTCAGAAAACCCTTAAAAAGAGCGGACTCTATTTCATATAAATTACTTATAATATAGTGTAGGTTAATGACATGACAACCAAAACAAAAACTATTCATGTACAAAATAAAAAATATTGTAAAAAAATAAATCTCTTTAAACCACGTTTAAACATTAGTCATCTTATTAAAAATAAAACAATTAGCTCAGTACGTTCTTGTACCTAAATTTCAAAATTAATAGCGAAGTATGGATCCAGATCTTCAAAAAGAACTTCAGCGGAAGTTGAAGCTTCGCCAATGTCTCCAGTTCCCATCTTTGGTTTATCTTTACCGACTTGGTTGACAAGATCTTCGGGAATATCATACGTTGCGCAATTCTTTTTTAATCCTTAACTGATTTCTAATTAGACGAATGGAATTTAAAGGTTTTTCTGATTGCTTGTTTCACAGTTTGCTTTTAACTACATTCATAGCACCAAATACGCGTTCAAATTCTGCATTTGAGTGCAGTAGTGATAATATTACTATTGCAAAATTACATAAATTTTCGAATATGTTTACTCCTGCTGCATTTTTGTATGTCGAAACCTTAGAACATGGTCTCAGGTTGAAACAGAGAAAGTGAATTAACGACATTGAATTATTAGTTTATGTTCGGGAATTCTCGTGAAATTATATTATATATAGAGTGCTACCAACGGTAGATTACAAAATTGGACATATGATAAATTTGAATAAAAGAATAAAAGAAAGTCGCCATCTCGAAAGTCCAAATGTCGCTAGAAGTCGCTAAATAATTATTTCTCGCTAAAACGATTTTTTTATCCGCTAAACATTGTTAAAATCCGCTAGATCTAGCGAGAAAGTTGCTAAAACGGCAACACTGTTTTTGCGGTTGGCGAATAAGATAAGAAGAGTGTTGCCATCACTGTATTTGCAAAGAGAGCTAGAAGGATATGAAAAAGGAGCTAAAAAAGGGCTAAATATTTTAGTAAAAAAGAGCTAAATATAAAAGTATATGAAAATCAATAGCTTATATTGACACAACGAAACATATAAATTAATGTCTAATATGTAAATAAAGAATTTTTAACAGTATAAAAAAGTTGGTAAACTTCAGACTTAAAATATTATGATTAATCATCGTCGTAAGAACAATCATTTATTAAATTAATCAATTCCACTAGTGCTTGCTTTTTCTTCGTTTGCCCTTAAAATTTCGTAAGTTGTCATTTTACCTAGTTTTTCAATACATTTTTCGGCAATTTGTAGTTGTGACAGCATTTTTTAACTCGTCATAATCTTTTCCTAATAAACATAGTCTATTTGGTAGTGTCATTTTTAAGCCTGTTTCGGGATTTGTTTATGACAATATTAAGCTAACTCAATACCCTTTCAACTTCAGCGTTAGACCAGGATAAGGAAATCATTGAAAGAACGAAAGAACACAACTCTATGAAAGGATCGATGTCAGCCGCATCTTTGTATTGTATAACTTTAGTTTAAAATGCTATTGTGTTATTCTTCTTTTACCACGGCACTAGGGTGATGTGATGTTATTCCATTACGTTTCTACTTTTTTTTCTTGCTTTGTTACTTTTCGTCTTCTGTTGAAAATCTATTTGTATTTGTGAACTCTCTAAGCTTTTTCTACTCTGAATCCTAAAGATGTGGAACAAAAAAGATCTTTTAAATTATTGACTTTAATAATATAAATTTGTATGTTGGGGCTGAGAATATACATTCAATAACTCTAAATAATGAAGTCGTTTTATAATTTACTATGGTCAATATTATTTCATTGGAAAATTTTCACAAGACTTTTCAACTGATCTAAAACGGAATAGATATATAACAAATATGCGTCATTTGTGGGGTTTTGATAGAAATTGTAAAAAGTTTCTGCGGCATAACATTTTTCAGAAAACCTCGTGAGGTTAAAATTTAGTTTTAATTCTGTACATTGATCAAATACTATTTTATTTGCTGGTTCTATTGAAACGAGGTTTATTCATATCGTTCATAAATTGTGAATATGTATATGAATTCTAGTATATTATTTATGAATCATAAATAATAGATATTATAGACTAGGCAGTAATGGCTGTGTCCAATTATTATAAAAGATTCGGATACACGCGTAACCAATACCTGAGAAAATTATAATGTTATTTTTTCATGTGGGGTAAAATTCTGTAAAAAAGCTATGGAGTTAAAAAGCGTTTTTTTTGGAGCTAACTCATTGCAAATAGAGCTGAATTTAGCCCTAAATTAGCTTAATTGGCAACGCTGAATGGGCCAGTGTTGCCACCTTGTAGAAAAATATATCACTAGTTATGGTCTGAAAGGAGACGGTCCATTTCAGGCTTAGACCATTAAACCCAATGGACTCGCGTCACATGATTATTCCCCTCTGCGCAAGTATTCGATTAAAAAATCTTATGCGTTTATAAAAACTGTTTACGGAATCGATTTCGCCATTACAGGAATCGTTTCCGCCGTTGTTGGTGCTCTTTAAAAAATGCCGATTAGTGTGGTTAACGTGTGCAAAAGAGTCTAGTACTTAAAATTTACAAAAGATGGAGTTACCTTCCATATGTAAGTATTTTTATTGTGATATATGCTTTCTTTCTATTATAATCATTTAAAATAATGTCATAAATAATAATCGAGAACTTTACCGATAAGATAATTGAGTACCGTGAAACCTTACAACTTTGCCCATGGGGGACAACTTTGCTCAAACACGAAAATTAACTAAAACTGCCGATAGAAATTTAATTTTAACACGGGGCAACTTTGTATGGCACCTAGAGAAAACTAGAACATATGTTTGGCAACACTGACTACTACAACCGCAGCTAACTACATTCAGTCATCTGTCAGCAACCTTCAAAGGGACAGTGTCGAAGGTGGTGCAAAAACATTGTTGCAGTTTTGCATCCCGCATTGCCAAGAAACGCTGCGCAGGGAAGATTCATTATTATTTACGTTTAGGGCATTAATTGTTGCTGCTTTTAATCATGGTCTCTTTCTTACAACTGTCTTAGTTAGCGAGAAATTTGTGTGGGCAATGTTGTAAGCAATTTTATAGACTGAGGTCGACAACATTGCCCAGCTCATAAATGTTAATAGGGTTGACACTATTGAAATAAAATAAGGAAACATGTACCTAGGCATAGTAAATAATATACTTAATAATTTAAATAAATGTATATAGGTACATCAAAAAAAAAACAATATAATACTACACTATAATACTACCTATATAATATAACTACTGTTCACTGAGAACTACTGTTCTGATAACTATATAGGTAACTAGATGCTGTTTTATATATATTTTAAATATAATAAATAGGTATATATATTTGTCTGGAATTTTTGTCAGAAACCGCTAGTTTCCCAAAAGAGAAAGCTTAAATATTCTCAGTTTCAGGCTAAAGCTTTTTAATAAGATTTATGCGTCATTTCGATTGCAAAAAAAAAAATTAAGTCTAAAAGAGAATTACGATTTTAGACATTAACGATCGCAGACAAAAATGGCCGACAAAATGGATTGGTACGCATAATAGGTGAACTACGTACATCAGTGGTAACAAAATGGGTATAAGCTGGCCTCGTATTGTATTAAATAAGTAAACTCGTGAGGTGTATCGATTTTTCTGATGAGAAGTGTATATACTTATACCTATAATTATTAGCTAGAATCGTAAGGGTAACATCAAAAACTGTTAGTAAGTAGTTTTTTCAATTTCAAGAAGTTAGTTAATTTATCAATTTCAGAAGGTAATTCTTGAACTAAGGATCGATAGAGCGAGCGTAGGAGCGATAATCTGCCTTGGGTGCGTGTGATAAAAAATTTCTGCGCTGCTTACTTTTTTTTAAAACTAATACGCAGGTAACTAACAGGCACGCTTACGTTAGCAGAGATCTTTTTATTTTTTATTAATATTTAATAGGCACGCTACCTACCAACTACTTATAAACATTGATTTTCTTGATTTTTTGTTGTTGTTTAGTTAGTTGTTGTTTTTAATTTTAAAAATAAAAAATACAATGCCTCAAAATCAATTTATTATTTTCCTTTCATCTGAGGCACAGCCCTAGCACCTCAAATCTTTTAGTATGAAAGTGTGACTAAATGTGGTGATAACATTGCCCACCACCGTTAAAACTGAAAATGGACTTCTATTTATTTGAAAATGTATTGGTATTCAATATTGTCGGTTTGCTAACAATATATCTTAAAATCAAAATCATAGAGCTTATAGTTGCTGAGAAATTTAGGTTGAGCAAAGATGTAAGAAAGTGGAGATAACTTTGCCCGCGTCTGTTTTTGTTTTTTTCTCAGCATCTGTTAGGAATTAATTCACCTGGTTTTAACAGTTTATTTGTTGCATATAGTGTCGTTTAAAGCTTTAGCAACCATCAAAATAAAGTGGATATTTTTTGAAAAAAGTAATAAAAACCGAAATATGTGGGCAAAGATGTAAGGTTTCACCGTACATAATATTTTATAAACAACTTAGTGATATACGAAATGTGACAAGCACACTCCCCGCGAGATTAGTTATATGTTTATTTTTTAAAGTCAACCCTTATATGTTACAAATTAGGTTTAAAATTGAACACGCAAGCACAACGGCAGTCCTAACGAGACTAGTAGTAGCAAATATCACATTAATTTCAAAGTTAGATCACAAATCAGTTGACATATTTTTTTCTAATCATTTGGTTCCAGAAATATCCAAATTTGAAATTATTTTACAGTGGTTTACTATTGTAATCCACGCGACAACTGTAGGGTTAGTATTTAATCTCATTAACTCACAACTTTTTCTATGTTGATGTATTTAACCTACATGTGTGCGTAAAATGTTATAGCGTTGGAGATTTAGATTTGTGTATGCCATAATGACACAAAATTTTATTGAGTAGGTGTTCCAAAAGTGACAGAATTTTTTGTTCGTAGCATAAAGCACATTACTCGTCCATTGGTGAATGGTCTAAGATTTCAGGCCCAGACTATGTATACTACTATGTACGTATATGTATGTAAAAAATTCATAGATTTTATTAAAAATAATAATTTAAAGAAAAAAGTTACAAGTTTGCAAGAAATACTAGATTCGCTGACAGGCACATCTTTGATAAATAAAGAAAACAAACAGATCCTAAAGTAAGTAAAGATAAGAACCGAAGAAAGCGAATTTTTAAAGAGACAATTCTTTAAAACTGGAAAACTGTTCAGAACTAAATATTTCACAGAGTTATGATGTTTCGTCCTAACACTTAATTATTAACGAAAAGCCTATCGCTATGTACGTAAAAGTTTTTAAACATGTTTGCTGGACGGCCACGGACATTGACAAGTGGTACAGTATCATCAACGGCCGACCATAGTTTACTCAAGAAGCGCTGATGACATTAAAATTGAGAGCGTAGAGTAACCCTGAAAAAATATTGTACGGAATACCATGCCAGCAGCCAAAGGCTGCTGGCATGGTATTCCGTATTTATTCTGCTTATAGCTATGTCAACTACGGGTTTGATATTATATCCAATAATTACGATGAAGCTACTGAGTGACGCATTAGTGTTTTTATTGGTCCGTATAAACACAACGTGAAAAGTGCTCATAGCCAAAGTTTTGATTAAATTTGAATTAAAATCTGAGTTTGATCAGTCTTTCAAAAACTTGCCATAATTCTTTGAAATAATAAAATCATCATTTTATATTACACCAAAATACCCTTCACTTCTGGCTGTACGAGGAAGCTCAGCGAGCTACGGAGAAGGCTACGCTTGAGATTTTCTGCATGATAAACTTAGAAATAAGGATATCCGCAGTAGAACCAGAGTGTCCGAGAAAAGCATTCATGTGCTGTTGCCGTGTTTTTTCGTCGTCCAATTAGGCCTTGTCCTACTACATCATGCAAAAATGACGATTTATCGATATATTATTATTTATCACGCGATATATATCGATAGTCTTTAAAAATATCGATACGATATATATCGATATTTTTTTTTCACTTGCCATCCTTAATGGCGAATGGCGATGGTGAGCAATGTTATTATTTGCAAAGTCTAAACCGATCCGGGTCGCCAAAAACTTGACGCCAAGTAGCTTTCGCTTAATTTTTTTCTATAAAGTAGCCTAACATCACCTACTGTTATGTAAGCCTGTAGCATATAAAGGCTATCTGTAAAACAGAGACCTATGTTAAACAATCAATTTTTTTAATTTTAACAGCATAAACTTTAAAGCAGCTTCTTGT